GGCACCCGCCGCAGCGGAAAAGAATTATCACGGAATGTGTTTCACGGTATCGTTGATCCTCGTCCTCGCGTAGAGGTGTGGTGATATTTCGAGTAAAAGGGATCGTGGCTATAAAAGTCAGTGATCCTGTTAGCAAAGGAGCCATGACTACGTGTAAAGAATGGGCTCGATCGCATCGGTGTTGCAGTGGCATTGCTCGGAGTGCGCTCTGATAAATCCAACGGAGAGCACGCGATGCGCCAGGTGCGGCCTTACTCGGCTTAGGAGTGATGAGAAAGCAAATCTCAGGCTCGGCCTGAGCTTGGATCGCAAAGTTCCCGAAGAAAAAGGGGAGGAGGAAAAGCAAAGAGACGACGAGGAAGGTGACTCTTCCTCGGTCTCTGTTCCGCCAACACCTCCGCCGAAACTTCGTTTGGAGAAGCCAGCAACGGGCGATACGCGTCCGGCAACTTATCAATACGTCAAAACCGATCTCATACATCGGTGAGAAAATTGTTAACTCATCTCTGCTCTGTCCGCAACCCCCTCCCCTTCCCTACCCCCATCTTCGATTTCTCGCGTGTTTGTATACAGTCTACCGAACTCTCCGCAAAATCTTGTCGACTTCTCCTCAAATGTAATACTTATCAGTTCGTATCAGTGCGATCATTTTGGTGTAATATCTCGTTTTTTGAGCAAAGGTATTTTCATAGTATGAGCTTTCCTCTACCTCTCACTGAACAAGTTTAATTTGTGCCAAGGATTTCACACAATGCACAGAACAACGGTTTGTAAGGGGAATATAATACAAATGTTTATTTGTTGCATGTTCGCATAAACGTAGATATGACAAGTTACTATTGCATCTACGAATACAGGCTTTCGCATTCACTATTGATACAATATACTTAGAATAATATCAAAGTTAGCATATATTTTTTCATAGTTGTTATCCTTTTTTTTATGTTTGGGTAGAGTTTTTTTCATATCTAGGAAATAATTAAATATATAGTTTCATTATAAAAATGTTATATATTCTTTGACTCTTTCCTCTTCCTTAATTTTATTACGTTATCATATATGCCAATGGTTGTTGTCCGTTTAGTAATTGTTTATTATTTTTCATATCGATTTTTAGCTCAGAGGGGAATTTAATTCTACTCGATAATCATATAAAGAAATCTCACCATGATTCGTGGAATGGAAAGTCTTGTAAAAAAGAGCCAGTTAAAAGATCTTCTTCTCTACCTTCCTTAATAACACAATGGACTTGCGTTCGTTGTTTGTTAGACAACAGCTGCAGTTCTGGTATAATTTGCGTAGCTTGTGATGCAAATTCTTCTATAGTTGAAACTGACAAAAGGCAGATTGGAGCACGTAAACGCAAAAAATTAAATTCACGTAAAACAAGTCGTCTCAAAGCTGCATCCGAACTTCTGGCCAATATTTTAGATGATGTCAATGCAACAAGTTCTTCTACAAGCGATGCAAGAATTATCAATAAGGGTATAAATTGTTTAATTTATTTTTTAATACTGTTTTAATACTATTTTGAACAAGATTGTGGTACAAATATTATATAGCTTATCTGTATTCTATAGATATGGCACAACTAACAAGTATAAGTCGTAGTGAAAGGAGACAAGATAGAGAAGACTGGACCTTGCCACCGATAGAAACTATGGAGTCCACTACACTTTCCTACACAAATACCACTGATACCTCTCAACGTTCACCAAAAAGACATAGTCCTTCAATTTATGAACGAGTCAAATCTAAAGTTAGTCGCTCTTTATCTAATGGATCTGTTGTACATAAATTATCTGAACACGCAATTCAAAGACCAACAAGTTTAGTAGTCTCAGAATCTCAACAGGATGATGCTCTCTGGAGTTGTGATAATTGTACTCTTGATAATGCTCCTGGCCTAGAACAATGCGAGGCATGTGAAGCCCCTAGAAGTCCTGCTCCTTGCAGTGGAGTAGTTATCAGTGTACCTGCCTGGGAACCACGTGCTCTATCTTCTGCAGGTCCATTGTCTTATAGACGATCTTTTTCTGATGTCGAATCCGTTACAAATGTATCTCGAAAGAAAAAGATCGTCAATCGTAGAAGTCTCAATGAGGATGAACCACCTGCAGTACCACCACATTCTGTTGGTTTTAGTACAAGACCAAAATATTCTTACATTGGAATTACCGACCCTGATATACCGCCGCCATTGCCAAAAAAACAAAATAATAAATTAGGTCTTGTACCCACAAAAGCACATAGCGAAGCAACTAGTCCTGTCGGTGATGTACCGAATGTAAGCTCGTTAAAACGTATGTGGACTTGTCGGAAATGTTCTTACGCGTATAATCCTTTATGGTCAACTGGTTGCGATATATGTGGATCTTCTCGATCACCGCCTTCGTTAATGCAACCTAGTCTAATAACCGTCACAAAAGATGAAACGAGTTGTTCGATGCATTCACAATCCCCAATTGTAGTATCCAGAGATAGTGTAAGATACATTCCACAGAAAACTGCTACATTGGCTACAGCAGAATCTGATCTAGATGATCAAGTTGATCCACCTTCCCCCGTGTGGACTTGTAAAAAATGTACATTATTAAATGCCGCTTCGAGAACAACGTGTGAAGCGTGCGGTGGTTCAAAGCTTAAAAGTATCATGCATTTAGAAGACGCTACGTTACGAAAAGGAGAAAGCTGGGTGTGCCCATCGTGTACATTAAGGAATCCGCTATCAGCACAAACTTGTAATGCTTGTAAGACTTTAGCAGATTTTCTAGATGTACCAAAGGATAGCAGATTTTTTGGATCAAGAAGTCCGAGTCCAAGACTTTGTTCAACCCCTATAAATTCAAAAGTTGTTACTCCAAGACATAGAAATTCTGTAAGAAGGAATGGTTCTTCAATTGGAGATAAAAGACATTCAAGAATTAGAGATTCCACTCATGGTCAAGTACGATTCTCTTATAGCTGTTTTATATATATTTATTAGTAAAATATTCAAATATATATATTATCCATATATTTTCCTATTGGCTTTCATTTTCTACATAAATTTATTATATATGAAACATTTCAATGTTTCCAGTGGCAGTGTAAACTGTGCACATATGAAAATAAGAGTACAAACGGAATTTGTGAAATGTGCCAAATCTCAAAAAATTTATCTCAACTACCAGGTGAAAGGCCTAGAATTATTGAATCTGGCATAAGTACACTTACAATGCAACGGCAAGAAAGCGTGGTTATGGAGAATTTAAGACAAATTGAGGAAAGAGAAGCATTGGAGAAATGGGAGCGAATAGTTCGCTATTGCAAAGAGGTATATTGATCATAAATTATATCATATGAACAAGGACGATTTTTTACGATCAAAGAAAACAGTTTAGAAAAAATATTGAAATTAATTTGTCTTTATATATGTAAATTACATTTGAAAAACATAATTATACTTTTTCTTTTTTGCATTACATATTTTTTCACATCAATTGATTTTTATTTTCCCTATTTATATTAATTTCTTATTTTTGTATTATAATACTAATGAGAAAACAAGAAGAAAATAAATGTTTTAGTGAATATTTTTAGTCTATGAAATATAAAATGCATAAAATTCAAATCTAAATAGTTTATAATTCGTTTAAATAAATTGAAAATATTTTCGACTAGTATATTTTAAATGCAAGATTTCCAATAGTAACTAATTTACTTATTTTATAGACAAATGAACCTTTTGTCGATGACTCATTCCCACCAGCTCCAAAATCTCTATATTACAATCCAGCTGAAACAAAAGATAATCATGTTGTTCAATGGAGAAGGCCTCATCAAATTAATGTTGATTCTACAGTTGATTCCAAACTGCCTTGGGCTGTTTTTAGGAAACCCTTACCTTCTGATATCTCACAAGGTGTATTAGGAAACTGTTGGTTACTTTCAGCTTTAGCTGTTTTAGCTGAAAGTGATGAGCTTGTAAAGAGAGTCTTAGTAATGAGGGAAACCTGCCCAGAAGGAGCTTATCAAGTAAGATTATGTAAAGATGGAAAATGGACCACAGTACTTGTTGATGACTTGCTACCCTGTGATAAAAGAGGCCATCTTGTATATTCTCAGGTTTATATCTTAACATTATAAGTGAAAAGTTATTACTTCTTTCTCTTCATTCATAATTTTGATAAAATACATTGTAGGCAAAAAGAAAACAACTTTGGGTGCCATTAATTGAAAAAGCAGTGGCTAAAATTCATGGTTGCTATGAAGCTTTAGTATCTGGACGTGCAATAGAAGGTCTAGCAACACTTACAGGTGCCCCTTGTGAGAGTGTGCCTTTACAACCATCTGCTTTGCCAAGTGAAGATGAACTTGATAAGGATTTAATATGGGCACAACTTTTATCTTCAAGGCAAGCTATGTTTTTAATGGGTGCTAGTTGTGGAGGTGGTAATATGAAAGTTGATGAGGAAGAATATCAACGTAAAGGTTTAAGGCCAAGGTAGAAAAAGTTCGACAAGAGTTAAAAATTTTAAGTATATTTATTCAGTATGCTATAAAAAACTTATTATATTTTTTCTAGGCACGCTTATTCTGTTCTCGATGTACGGGATGTACAGGTAAAAAAATACACGTATTTATAGATACATGATTAAAGACTTACAAGTACTTTGAGTAATATATTTGATAGGGAATACGATTATTGAGATTACGTAATCCATGGGGTCACTATAGTTGGAAGGGTGATTGGTCTGATGATAGTCCTATTTGGACACCACAATTGCGGGAAATGCTCATGCCACATGGTGCTTCTGACGGTGTTTTCTGGATTTCTTTTGACGACGTATTGAAATATTTTGATTGTATTGATATTTGTAAAACTAGAGTTGGGTGGAGTGAAGTTAGATTACGTGGGACACTTCCACCTTTATCATCTCTCAGACATTTATCATGTGTACTTTTAACGGTACTAGAACCTACTGAAACAGAATTTACTTTATTTCAAGAAGGGCAAAGGTAAATTTTATTATCCCATTTTATATGCATTTGTATAATTATATCAAATATAAGGATAGGAATATAAGGATAAATATGGTCTATTATACTTACATATATATTTAGGAATTCCGAAAAATCACAACGTTCTCAGTTGGACTTGTGCGTAGTTGTTTTTCGTACACGTTCACCAGCAGCACCAGAAGTGGGGAGATTAGTAGAACATAGTAAGCGACAAGTACGTGGATTCGTTGGATGTCACAAAATGTTAGAGAGGGATTTGTATATTGTTGTATGTTTGGCCTTTAATCATTGGCACACAGGAATGGAAGATACTTCCAGTTACCCTGAGTACGTTCTTGCCATTCATAGTTCAAAGAGATTATTAGTTGAGCAAATTTCCCCACCAGCATTTGTCTTAGCTGATGCTATAATAAGTTTAACTCTAGCAAAAGGACAAAGACACGAAGTAAGAATATTTCTGTAACTTGCAACTTCAATTTCAAAACTGTTTGTGTATCTCTAAAACCCAGTATTTTGTAAAATATTTATATGTAGGGAAGAGAGGGAATGACTGCTTATTACTTAACTAAAGGTTGGGCTGGACTTGTAGTAATGGTAGAAAATCGTCATGTAAATAAATGGATTCATGTAAAATGTGACTGCCATGAAAGCTATAACGTTGTGTCCACAAGAGGACAACTCAGAACTGCCGATAGTGTTCCCCCGCTACACAGGTAAAATGGATCTTTTATATGTGCTCCTGAAATCAACATTTATGACAGATCATTCGATAAATTTTTTTATTGTAGACAAGTCATCATAGTTTTAACACAATTGGAAGGTAGTGGAGGTTTTTCGATAGCACATCGACTTACGCACAGACTAGCTAACAGTGGAAACTTGCATGACTGGGGTCCGCCAGATACTCAACATTGTCCTCAAATTGATACTCAAGTCGAAGGTTTACATAGTCCTCGTTTAATCACGTGAACAAATGAGTGATTAATAACAAATAGGACAATGTTTAAATGTATCTCGTTTGTCGAGTAAGAGATTTATTATGTACTCGTGATATCCAGAAATTTACCAAAGCAAGCTAGAAAGATTTTGGTACAGAAGAAATAGTACTGAAACTATAATACATTCTGTGCTTTCTAGCTATTCATGTTGTATGAAAATTTTTAGCATTACGACAAGCTCACTATTGGATATACTACAATAATTAACAATTAATATACAATGATTCTCTCTCTCTCTGAGATCAGTGGTTAGAAATATTTTTTTTTAATTAGGTAGAAATCATTCGTTGTATCAATGAAAATGAATATACTTTAAAACTTGCGTGCAAATTAAGCATTTCTACGGGAACCATTGATCCATAAAGAAGACTTAAGGGAAATTAAATATTTATGGAAGAACAAATTAAACACATTGCTTGTTATATAAAAAAAAAATTATTTTCTCAACGTAACATATAAGCACCATAAAAAGTAACAAAGCGTAAAAGTTATACAATAATAATATATGAAGTGAAATAAATAACAGCCATTGATAATGAAAAACATATACACTCTTTTTGGAATTGCTTAGAGTATGGTATAACTATGGGTCGAAATTTTTTCAATTTTTGCATCTCACAAGTCGATCCTATTTTCGGATACACAAGCCGTATTCAGAACTCACATTTAAAAGTACATATATTGTATATTGTGTATGACAGCTGATGTTACTGGCCGTTTAAGTGAGGGTTTTCGAATATTGGTCACATCGTAAAACTTTTATCTCATCTGAACTTTTGTTGTTTCCATCTTGTAACTGGATGGAGTGCTTGTGCTAAAAATGGACGTAGCGCATAGCTACAGAACCAAAAATCTCTCTGAAAGTTTTACAGTATAGTGACGCGTTCACTGCCATTTTGTGCAATGTACGTTTAACTTTATTGTTGTTAAAAATTTTTGTAGTGAATTATTAACAAAATTATTATCACTGATTGTTGTATGTATATTTTATGTTCATTTAACTTATAATACATATCTTGAACTTTATACATACACAAGCGTGGCAGTTAACGAGTTAGTCAATTTTATAAGTCTTGTACATTTTGTAATCATGACATCAGAATAGCCGTCTACGAGGCGCAATCATTTATAAATTTTTTTTACATAAATAGATTTGTGTTTTATTTTTATACATATACATATATGTTTTATCTATAAACGAAACAAATATGTATTGGACAATGAAATATATGAATCATTTTTTTCCAATTTGCAAAAACGTATTTAGCAAATTATAATCTCACGTAAAAAGGAAGTTACAATTTAATAAAACATTCCCTTTTTTTTAAAGAGAAAGATTGCTAAATTGAAAAGTATATGTATGTTACAAGTATATCTCCTTTCGAATAGCATGAAATAATTCAAAAAATTGTTATTGAAATTATTGCATTAACATATAATTAATTTAAGGTTAAAACTGTATACAAAAGAGTGAAACTATAAGTTTTGATTCTTATTAATGTTGTACCAACCAATAATTTTAAATATGTCCATTATATGTATTAAATGCGATGTATGTTGGCACACTTTTTAATTCTTTCTTATGCATATTATGCAGGACGTTAATAAAAATCGAGAACATTTTTTTTTCAAATATTAATTATATGCGTGTAAACCATGAAAAAGTTTGTATAATCTTGTATCTAAAGCTGTTGAGTACCCGAAATATTCGAATATTCGAAATCTAAATTGAATTAATTGATTCGAATATTCGATTAGTTGAGTACTTCGAATAGTTCGACAAAATTCACGTTCATTGTTTCAATTGAGATCTTTTAAATATTGTAATTGTTTAAATCTATTTTAACGAATTTAATTTGTACACTATTTAAATCTATTAAAGAATACCGAATTTTCTTGAACTACTCGAATAAGCAAATTGATTTCGATATGTATTTTTTAAGTATTAGAACAGCTGTATTTGTATTTATGAGTTGAAAACTCGCGAACTCTTTATGCGATGTGTTCTAAGGAAACAAATTTTTTCTTCATGTATGCGTAAATGGCATTCATATTTAAAGGACATCTAATTAAAGATAGCTGTGAAAATAACTCGTTTATATATATATATGTACACACACATATATATACATAAACAAATTATTTTTTAAATTAAATTAAAAATTAATGTGTATTATTTTAATCAATGTATTAATTTAAGTAATGTATCTAATATTTATTAATATTCTCTATAAAGCATAATTAAAAAGATAAGCACTTGCAGATACAAGTTTATATGAATTTTCTTTCATACTTATTTGTATGAAAGTTAAAAAATATTTTCGATCTTTACCGATATACTGTGTATTATATAAACTAGCAAACATCCAGTTTTATATGGAAAGCTCAGTGCTTTGGCTTTAACATTAAACTGCCATGTTCCATGTCCTTAAGGAATGATGAAATTGGCACTGAAATGTTCTTTTGATGGCAGTTGGATCTGATTGACAATTTGTCTAATATTTTCTATACATATTGAATGTGGTAATGTGACAATATCTCATGCTGTGATCAGCTCTAATGACGTTTTTTGTCAGTTAAGAAATGTCCTCATAAATGAAAAGGCAGCATTATAAATATTATTTCAATGATAGTACAAAATATTTATTATATATGCATTTGCTTAATTCAAATGCAAGAAAAGAAACAAGTTATGCACATAAGCATTATGAGACTTATTGGCAATAACTTTCTTAATTACATCAGTTATTATATATTTTTTTAAATAAAACATTCCTTACATTTATTTACATTCTCCCATTATCCATTTAAAAACTCTGATTACTTGCATTAATACATTTACTTCTGTGTTCTATTTTTAATATATTCTGTTTTTAATATATTTGATTCCTGTTGGCATAAAATTTAACTTTTAATATTGTTAATTGAGTTCCGCTTGAGGCATTGCTTTCTCTTTGAAGCGAAAAAAGGAAATTATTTTTATTCAATGGCTTCAAACGAACGGATCTAACTGTTGAGTGTGGCCTAATAATTTTAATATAGGAACTGTTTCTGATTTATTTAAACTAAATCGTATTTAAAGATATCAAAACCCCTTTCATTCACTTTGTGATAATATTAAAGCAATCATTTATTAAAGGAAACCCTTCAAAGCGAAAAAGAAATGTTTTTTTATTAATATAAATCAGTTTTCTTAAGTTTAAACAGTGATTAAAATTTATGTAAGTGTTAGACGCAATGAAAAGAATTATTCTCATAAATAAACTATACTATTTGCACTAGTTTCTGTACAAATGGCCTTAATTTACAGACAAAAACATTTAAGATAAAATGGAGACCTATATTTATGCATTTTCTTAAAAAATATAAAACAGGTAGCAGGTAACTTGTATTGTTCTAGTAATTTTAATTTGAATCAACAGATTCGACTGCTATGCTCTAAATGGTAATTTAAAGCATCAATTAAATTGCACCATTGTTCAAAACCTTAGGATAAGTCCCATCGGTGCATGTACACAAATGCAAAAACAATAATGCTAAAGCAGATGATATAATTAAATATAACGCCTAATTCCTCTCTTTTCTTCTGTTTCTTCTTCTTTTATTTTTGAAGCATAACTTGCATCTGCATAACATTAAATTAAAAGAATTTAAGGTAATCCTTAGTGCCATACCAAAGCATAACAGAAAAACCTGTAAACAAATATTTAATCAATAATGATTTATAGAGGCCCATTCCGTTGTCACAATGATATTATAGTACTTTTTCTCAAAGAAAAAAATATTCTATTTTAAATATTGTGTGTGTGTGTGCGCGTGTGCATGTGCGTGTGTATAATTACCGAGAAAGAATTATAAATATTTCCATTTTAGAATATGACTACTGTGGCTTCGACGATACTATCAGAATAATGGATATAACGTATATTTAATGTTTGGATTTTGATTGTTAAAACTTTAGAAAAGTTTCGAAAGCACGAAGTGACATTATTCTGAAAGCAACGTTCGTAGTTGATTATGCACAACGCTACGGCGAATGAACAAGTGTGTTTGGTATTTTAGAAAACTGTCTTTGTGGATTTGAGCGTTTTAAAAAAGAATTCAATTTGTATATAAAATGAATTATTTATTATAATTAAGGGATGGGTGAAGCTGATTAATTTATACACTGCTTGTGGTACACGTAAGTTGTTTTGCATATGCTTACACAATTTTGTTGAGACAGCGCTTAAACCGATTAAAAAGTAAGAAATAGAAAATTATATATAGCAAAATTAGTAATATATCGGAGTCAAAGAAATGCCGGTGATGTGCGAAGCATAAATATTTGTTCTTTTTGTCTTTTTGCAATAAGCTTTCAGAAATTTAAAGCCATTTATTAAATCTTACGCTATCATTAAAAAATCGATTGTGTGACATTAAAGACAATGAACAATTTTGCCGATCTTTTGTAAATTCTCAAATAACATTTATCGTTTGTTTCAGCACGGCGTTAGTACTATTTATATAAATGGAGCAAAAGACGTAGGGTAATCGCACGCCATCGCAAAATATCTAGGAATATATTCTTAATATGCAAAGAAAATTAAAAAAAAAAAAAACACTACGGTATCTCATTGTATTTGTAATTACAGAGTATAATATTGCGGTGTCATTTTACAATTATTAAGTAACTCGTACTCTGTACGAAACTGCGTACCGGGTGTATTCTAAACTGTATACAAGCGTTATAAATGTGATTTTCTTTTTTCTTCGTTTTAAATGAGACTGAAATATTTACACGTTCAAGAGAAATATTAATGCAAACAATATCTAAAAATTATTAAATTATTAAAGGAAAAGGAAAGATTAAGTAATTCCTGAAAATATTAAAAAAAAAAAAAAAAACAAAGTTTATTGATAGAAAGAAACTGTTTTTAGACGCGTTCTTTTAGTCTACGCGACTGTGATCATTTTAGAAACGCCCATGTACGAACCCGAACCAGCAATCAACTTTGTGATAGTCTGTGTACCGATTTGGCAAACTTTGTTGAATTGATCCCATTTCCTATAGATGGAATGTATAATTATTAGAACTTTGTCGCGTACATACAAAAAAAAAAACATTTACTACTTTATGAAATGATAAAGACATTGTATTGTCCCTTGATTTATATAATATAGTAGTATAGGTACATTTAATAATAAATCGGAATATTATCTAGAAATTAATCGTCATTCAGTCTCAAGTCAAATTAATAACGATTAAAGTGATTTTTTCAATCTTCTTTGTATTCTTTTAATTATTTAATATTATCCACATGCTTCTTTATTTTTCTATTTATTTTTCAACCATTTGTTTATAATTAATACCTTTATATTTGAATCTTATTTCCAATCACGAATATTTTTAATATTTTATAGAAATACACATCTCTACAAAGCTATACATAACATAGTACATACATTTCGAAAATGTACATACACGAATTACACATATTCAAGTTTAAAACGTGCATCTTTACGTTATAGATGGCGCTCTTCAATTATTCTCGCCAGTTAGTCAGTTGAAGACTGTCTAACGCGTTCAGTGCTAATTGTTAATATTTGAAATATAAGACATTGTGTGTCATTTAGTGGCGTTTATTTGTCTTATTATTTATTGCACGTCACAACTATGTCAACGTTTACTTTTGGAACACCTACAACTTCGAGCAACACAAGTTTTGGATTTGGACAAAAGTAAATACACAATTTTACATTTCGTATCCTTAACTTAAATTAAATTAATTAACCTCACATTATGAAATTGAAACATAGGGATTTATATTTAAAATTTACATACTGAAATATTGATAATTTATTGTGTTCTAGACCTGCAACAGGTTTTAATGTAACTAGTACACCTTTTGGTTCAAGTACTTCAGCACCAACATTAACCTTTGGAAGTCCATCCACACCGGCAACAACAACTGGGCTTAATTTTGGATTTAATAGTACACCTGCAACTGCTGCACAGACACAATCAACTGGTTTACTTTTAGGATCAAATACAACTAGTACAACTACTGCGAGCAGTTTATTTCCAGCTCCAACTACGTCTGCGCCATTATTTGGTGGACTTTCTTTTGGCACACCAGCGACAACTTCTACGTTGACATTTGGTGCTCCATCTGCTACAGCTACAACTGGAAATGTTACCTTTGGTGCACCTACTACGACAAGTATGTGATAGTTGAAGATGTAATTTAATATTATTAATAATCAAAATATTATCTCTAATATTTTGTATTTACAGCATCACTTTTTGGTAGTGGTAATTTATTAGGATCAAAATTAGCTACTAGTGGTACTACAACTACCACAAGCACTACCAATAAAGGACTAGGGGGATTAGATATATCATCAAGTAATAAAGGATTTTCACAAACAAATACTAATCCAGCTGCTGCTAAAGAAAATATTTGGCCACCAGAATTATTACAGACAATAGAGAAATTCAAGTAATTATTATATAGTAGAACTATTATATTAGAACTGTATAAAATTTATTAATTTAATATATGTTCTTAATTATAGAGAGTTTGTGAAAGAACAGAAGGTATTGTCTTCAGATATAGCAAGGGGCTCTGCAAGACCATTAAATCGATGTGCGGAAGATACAGCATCATTGATGGAACTTTTAACAACATTAGCTGGATCAGTTCAACGAGATCGTTCTGCTGCTGATAAGTTGAAACAAGACACAGCAAAAGCATTACAAAGTTCTGAAGTAGCTCAAAGAACGCATGATACCCCACCAGGATTACAATATGAAAATAATACACCATTATTATTTTTTATGGAATTGGCTGATAGCTTTGAACATGATTTACTGTTATTTAGATCTCAAATTGAAACAACAGAAAAACATATACAGACAATGATGACTCCAAAGACTTTAACTCCACAAGGTAAATTTATATTAGTATTAATGTTTCTCAAAATTTTAAAATATCTTTCAATTGGTTTTTAGAATTGACGATGGCTATGAGTAAACTTCACGAGTCTCTTGTTGCTGTTGCTGGTAAATTGCAAGGCGTACATTCGAAAGTACAACAACAAAAGGAACAGTATTTAAACTTTAGAAAATACGTTTTAAAAGATAATACAAACGTTTTTGAAGATATTAAACCAGATGGAAAAATATCTCGAAGTAGTATTGGAAAAATTACGAGTGGTCCTACACCATTTGTTCCAGGTAATTGACAATTTTTAGAACTTATTGTAATATGCAAGTATTTATTTTATTTCATATAACTATTAAACGTGTTATATACTTTACTTTTATAGGAAATAAAAGTTTCCTTTCATCAACAGCACTAAATTCCAGCAGACTAGGAAGTTATGAAACACGAAATCCATTAGGTAAATGAAATTAATATATAAATTTATAATGTTAATATATTTTTTGCTGAAAACAAAGTCCCTAAAACAACGTATTTTCGTTGTTTCAACTATCCCATGAATATCTCCTACCTTCAGGTCTTGCGTGGATTTAGTATGAGGTAGATTTACTAACATTTAACGCCCTTTACTCAGTATTGTAGAATTTCACGTATATGAATAGAAAGACTGTTGCAACTAATTATTCTGTAAATATGATCGATTTAAAATTTTTTATTTCTGTGATTTGATTTTGATTTTGTCTTTCCAGGAAAAGAGTAAGGAATCTATTTTAGTTTATAAGGTACTATATTTTTCTTCAGTTTCTGTTTGTGTTGTGAAGTGTGGAAAGGGGTGCATAGCTTTTATACTTAACATTTACTAATTATATACGAGAATATTCATTTTTAATAATAGTGAAATAAATGATATTCTGTTTTCTTCTTCTTCTTCTTCTTAATTTGCATTTTCAAATATCACATAGTAAAGGGAGGTTGAAATCTGCGCTTGTTAAGGAATGGCTGTGTATTTTATATGTATTTTAATTGCTTCTGCTTCTTGGTGGTTTTGTAAGAATGCCCGCGTTAACTAGATTATATATTTAAAAGAATATACAACAATATATAGGGATACTGTTGAATATTAGTTTTATTAAAAGAAAGTATATAATTATGTCAATGTTGCTATTTTGTTACTTTTCAATGACATCTTAATTCATTGAAACACAGCTTTAGCTATTGTACACGTCAATTAATCTGTCTATTAGAAATAGATGCAAAATAATTCAGTATATATGTTGTTACAGTTTGGGGAAATACAATACCAACACCATCTGCTACTAACATTACTCTAAGTTCGTCATTGAAACCACCAACAGCAAGTTTGACCTTTAATACTCCGCCAAATCTTACTACGCCTTTACCAACGAGTGAATCAAACTCGAGTTTTCAACTTCAGAAACCTCCTATTGGTAATAAAAGAGGAAAACATTAAATCGAGTTTATATTTATTCTCGTATTGTTAAGGATATTTTAACATATGATTATAAATATCCTACTTGATTTTAATATTAATATTTCGATTTAACGTTATTATTTTTTTAAAACAAGAATGTTTTATAAGAAAATAAATTGTTATTAAATTCTATAATTATAAGCATTTCATATATACAATAGTACAACTATATTTTAAGAAAATATTTACTTGAAGCATTTTTGTAATTCAAAGTATATTTTACTAATTTTATAGTTAAGTATAAATTTATATATAAGAAATTAAAACTGTCCGTGAATCATTATGAAATGACATAAATTGTATATGTAAAATGCTTGTGAGCAGAACATTTGAAAAAAAATGAGTACCTAAATTAAATTGTTTTAAAAAGTTGCTAGAAATTTTTTACAGATATCTTTTATTTTTCTTTCTTTTTTAATATATTATAAATCCATACAATTTATATAGTACAAAAAGTGTTATTTTTTTTTATATTTTTCTCTTATTTTCTATCCTTCTTTCTTTATAACGTTCGAAACTTTCTTTTTATCTCGAAACATATTAGAAAAAGTTATTTGCACTAATTATCTGAGATGTATTAGTTTTTTTTTACAATATATGCAGAACGAGTATTAAAAAAATATTTCTACTCATCGTTATATAGCACCAACTTCTATGATGGGAATCAACAATTTGAAGGCATGTTGAATGTAAGAACTTGCATTTGAAGCCTATTTAAAAAAAAAATGAAAATTTATTTCTTCACACATGTATACTATAATTTAATACATAATAGTATTCTCTTACCTCCATGAGAATCGTTGTTATATTAGTTTTGATAATATGAGATTTATCTGAAGTTTCTGCAAGCTTATTTAAAACACTACAGTAAGTATTAGCTAATATTTCAATTTGATTAGACAGAATATTTGTTAACTGAACTAGTGAATCGGTTTCATTAACAGTGCTTCGATGTTCTTTGATTAAAAGTAATTCTGCAGTTTTATGAAACCTTTCTACAGAAAATGCTGTAAATTGTGCCAAAACTGAAATAGCATGTTCAAAAGTTTCTTGATCACTATGTGGTGAAGTAGTATAATTTTTAGAGTCTTGAAAAGCCTAAAATCAACATTTAACTTTGTATAATCCATTCAAGAGATAGTAGTAAACTCTCGTATTATTAGGGCAGAAATTATTTACCTCGTGTAACTTTTCATATGTAATGTTAATTCCAAGATCGCTGCAAGCTTCTTGTAATTTATATTTCAAGTCTTTCTCATCTGTTTCATCATTGTATTCATCATCATTATCTAATGCACATAATTCTTCAACTTCTTCCAACATTTTTTCAACAGAATTTAATTCATTTGTATCTAAGCTATTCAAATGCTGTTGTATTTTAATATTACTTTGTTTTGATAACATTTCTAATGCTTCTATATGAACAAGTCCTTGATAATCATCAAAGAGACTTTCAAAATGTACTTTTCTCATTTTCTGTCTCTCTTCCATTGTTCTTTCTGTGCTATCTGCTTTTTCTTTAGCTTCTCGTAGAATTTGAGATAAATTAGGCTTATCTGTTTCATTTATAAAGAAGGTCCTCTTTTTCTTTAAGCCTGGATCACCTTCTTGTAGAACTTCCATTGTCTTTTTACCAATGGCTTCTAACGTATCTAATCCACCACTCACAACTTTGCTTCCAGTTGATTCAACCAGTTTTGTTATTGATGATACACTTGATATAAGATTTCCAAACCCGAAAGAAGATTGTTCTTTGGTCTGTTCCTCTTTACCATCTGGAAATTAACTGGAAGTTAACTAAAATAAAAATATAACAGTTTTATAATTTAGCCGTAATTATACCATTAAATAGTAGTAGTGGTATAGTTTATTTTCAATCTCTTGACTATAAAAGAAACTTGGTTCACAATTATATATTTTTTCTATTGTCTTTCATTCTCACTTATTCATCTACACACAGATCCATCCATTCGCACACACAATCTTATTTTACTCTTATTTTACATATTACATATCTATTGTCTATCATCTACCTATCTATTAACTATTACATATATCTATTATATCATTAAATATATCCATCCTATATCATTTATAAATACATAATAAAAGTTACCGTTGTCTGTCTGATTTTCTTGTTCTTCATTTGTAATAGATTTAGGTTCATCAGATAAAGCCATTGATTCTTCCAAAAGAGTAAGCCCTTGTGATACATGGCTAGTTATTGTAGAAACTCCAACACTAGCTGTATTAATTAAAGAACTTACGCCCCAATTACCCCAACCCCAACTTGTGGATGAGCTACTTGTTTCTTCAGCAACTAATGATAATCTTTTTAATACTGGTTGTAATTTCTCCTCAATCAATTCCTCTGGTAATTCAATCGGATCTTCAAGTCCTTCCCAACCTTCAGATTTAAATACTTCTTTGAATGTTTTATCAGATTTCAATTCTTCTGGCATATCAGATTCTGTTATCTCATCTTCCATAGAATATTTACTAAGCACATCTTCTCCTGTCATCAGTATATCCCTTTCATTAATATGTGCATCTATGTTATCTATATCAGTCAAAAGGTTACTACTTGGCATAACCTTTGTTCCTAATTTTTTTCCACCTAATTTCTTTCCTTTGTATTGAATCTTTTCTTTTTCATTCAACTGATCTATCAACTCAGAATGTAAGTCCATATTAACATCTTTTTCAGGGAATACTTCTACTTTATTTTTTCTTAACTCTATGTTTTCATTATTACTTTCCACTTTCAAGTCTTTGTCACCAGTGTTGATCTGTGCACATTCTACTTTCTGTGAATCGATAGTTGAAATGTTTTCATCATTTTTTTCACAAGTTTCGTCAACATTGATAATTGGTTGCTCGTGCTTCTTATAATTATGTGTATCTTTAGTACTGATATCTTTATCAGCTCTTGTTTCATTAGTTGACGTATCCATTGTCGGCCAATATTTTTCTTTACTTTTACCGAAATTTACATTTGTATACGGTTGTCGAGGCACATATTCCGTATCGTCATCAGATTCCGAATCTATCGTGTTTGGTAAATTCCATTGTTGCATTTGAGAACTTTTTGTTGGTATGTCATGGTTCATCTCTTCGTCAGCGCTTTCAAAGTCATCGCTCTCAGATGTTGCCATATTAACTTTGTACAAAACACTAAATTACTTCTTATTTATTAGAAACAATTTACGAATTATGTTCGAATGTCGATACGATCGGTTTACGTTACAATTGCACATTCAGTTTCTCGTAACGTGTAGAAAATTTGGGTTAAAAATGTCGCCACGTTCAGGAAACCTCCATACGTTCACATATCCGCACTATCCACCACGTATATACATACATAATTATACACATGTCACGTGTCTTGCCGAGGCAGTAAGAATTCACACACTTCATCAAATTTATAGTAAATGTATAGATTAAAAAAGTCGTGCATGCGAGAATTATTCTAAATTCTAAACCACTGGATTTCAATGCGACATGGATATAATTTCTTTTACTAAAGTGACATGAGCTTTACGTAGAAATTTTGCAAATCAAATGTATATTTTTAAATAGAATCAAATATTTATTTTCAGATTAAAAAGAACGAAGGAGATTATGCTAAAAACATACATTTTCACATTGTGGACAAAAATGTATTTATTATCAAAATAATAAAGAAAAAAACAAATGTTAATACTTATACAGAACAGTAAAAATGTGACATGAGAAATATTTGGATTGAGGCTAATAAGTTAATTTCAAGCAAAATGATAGGAGTGAATAACGATAAATGACGCAAGTAGGAGACTAAATTACTCGATCGAATATCGATAACATTTGGAAGCCACGCATCAAGCGAAATAACAGCGCGGAGAAAAAAAAAAAGAAAGAAGAAGCAATACATGCGAATACCACAGTGGCTTATGAGACATTCTCGAAGGGGCAGCAACGGATTACCATCAGTTTATTCATTCGTCCCGGATGTTCAACGGTCTTGAGTGCACCTGCGTTTCCATGAGAGTCGTACGGTGGTGCCGCCGATGCAACATAACGGAAAATATGCGAAACTGTGGAAAGGGCATCGCGTTCGTCTGTTCCCGTCGTCGTTCGTGCACAGCGGTCAGAGACACGAGAGCTTTCGGCCTAGTAGTGGGAGACGATTCGAGAGAAAGAGAGAGAAAGAAGGAGAATACCAAAGGCTGGGAGGGGATTACGTTCGGTTCTCATCGGTGTACGCGTTGAGGCGAAGAGGAAGAGAGAGTGAGTGAGAAGCATTGCCAAGCGCACACGGTATGAACGTCCAGTGGCATGTTTCAAACACTCAACATGCTTGTAGTTGGCGCGAGGTTGTAGTATCGTACGAAACGAAAGAGTAGTTTGCGCGTATTCTTGCCACTTGAAACAACGGACTTGACAGAGTGTAGAATCTTCGCCGAGGCCATGTTCAATTCGATCCATGAACGGAGCAAAAGTGTCTTGCGGTAACCGTAACAGTGTTCCTGGCAGTTTCGTTCCGTGTAAGTAAAAAGACGGAATGAAATAAAACGCGTGGGGGAGAAACGCGAGGCGAATTCTGACATTCCTCGAAGGGAACGTCGCGTTGATTCCGCGCTGTCTTTCGCGGACGACGAGCACGAAGTTTAGTGAGAGAAAGAAAAGGGAGCACACGGTGAAATGTACTCGATAGTACCGGCATTAGCGTGCACTTCTTAAAGCGGGTCGCAGACGCAGATGCTGCCCCGTCTCTGCTCCGAGAAACTCGTCGTCGTTCCTGCTGCTCCAAAATGAGAACGACGTGGTTGTTACGCGTTTGAACAATTCGCCAATTTTCTTCGGAAATTTCATCAATGAAACGTGCATCTGAACGACGTTAGCCGGAGAAGTGTTCTCTGTTCGATTACCGGCCCGATTTCCCGAATATTTTTTTAAGTGTTCCTGCTTTTCCCGATGGTGTAAAACAAATGATAAAATCGTGTAA